GCGGGGGCTGCGGGAGGGGCGGGGGCAGGGCGCCGCTCGGGCCGAGAGCGCTAATGGCGGCGGGCGCAGCAAGGCCGGGACCTTGCCCTCCTGCAGGCCCTTAGCCGGGGTTCGAGTCCGGACGCCGCCATTGGCCCCCAGCTGGTTACTCCTCTCTCTGGGTCTCAGTGTTCGGGACTTTAAAACGCCCTTTGAGCCAGCCTGGCCCCGCCGGGCCTGTGCGTTCCCCGTGGCCCTGTGGGTCGCCGCGATCTGGGCACCTTCCTGCAGCGAGTCCATGCTCCCGCAGCTAGGCCCGCACTCCATCCCTGACGTTCTGCACCGACAGGTGTGACCTTGGGCAAGTCCCTTTTCTAGGAGCTTAAGCTTCCTCGTCTGTGTGCATGGAAAGAATCAATAGCATCAACAGGTTTGACGTTGGACTGTCTCACGTCTAATCGATTGTGAAGAAGGAGCAACTGAGGCACATAGATTAGGGCTGTTGGGCCCGGCAATCTGTAGTTAGTGTCTCTGCTGACTTAATTCCCTCCCAGCAGGATGGAGCCCAGTGAGGAGCTGGAAGAGGAGGACTCTGCTGGCCGGGAGGATGGCTTCACCGCCGCTGAGCACCTGGCTGCAGAGGCCATGGCCGCCGATATGGACCCCTGGCTGGTGTTTGATGCCCGCACTACACCCGCCACTGAGTTGGATGCCTGGTTGGCCAAGTACCCACCATCCCAAGTTACCCGCTATGGAGATCCTGGTTCACCCAACTCTGAGCCTGTGGGCTGGATTGCAGCCTATGGGCAAGGCTACACCCCCAACTCAGGGGATGTCCAGGGCCTGCAGGCAGCCTGGGAGGCTCTGCAGACCGGTGGGAGACCCATCACACCCGGTACCCTGCGCCAGCTGGCCATCACCCACCAAGTGCTCTCAGGCAAGTGGCTTATTCACCTGGCACCTGGCTTCAAGCTGGACCACGCCTGGGCTGGCATTGCCCGGGCTGTGGTTGAGGGCCGGCTTCAGGTGGCCAAGGTGAGCCCACGGGCCAAGGAGGGTGGGCGCCAAGTCATCTGTGTTTACACGGACGACTTCACGGACCGCTTGGGTGTATTAGAGGCAGATGCTGCCATCCGTGCTGCAGGCATTAAGTGTCTGCTCACCTACAAACCGGATGTCTACACCTACTTGGGCATCTACCGGGCCAACCGCTGGCACCTCTGCCCCACTCTCTATGAGAGCCGTTTCCAGCTTGGAGGCAATACACGTGGCTCTCGAGTGCTGGACCGTGCCAACAATGTAGAACTGACCTAGTGGGGCCAAGTGAGGGAGACCACCCTCGGTCCCCTGCTGGGGATGGAACCTTCTGTCTTCCTCTTCCTCTTCCCAAGAAGTCCAAGCCCCCAGCTCTGAGGACTTGTTCACTCAGGAACTGCCTGCATCTTCAGTCCCCCTGAACTTCCGCCCTCTGTTCAGGGCTCACTCCAGCTCCCACAGGCTGGGGGCTCTGGCTCCCTGAGGGCCGGGCCCTCAGTTTCCCTTTTTGATGCTGCTCCCCTCCCCTGTCCAGGACCTCAGGCTGGATGCAGATACTAAAGAGAGCCTTGCTTAGCCACCTTCATCCCACTGTATCTCTCCCTCCTCCTCCTCCATTCTTTCCCTTTTTCCTTGCTCCTCACAAGGGAGAAAACTTAGTGCTTCCAGTCCCTGTCCTTGGAGCTTTTCTAGTCCAGGGGACAGGGGCTCTGCAGGACTGACTGCGCATGCCATTTGGGAGGAGGGGTAGTTGTGCCAATTCATCCCTTGGCCTAGAGGGGATGCCAGGCTGTGGACATAGAGGGCCTGCTCCTCCTGCCAGCTCATAGCCTGCATCACTGCCCTCCCTTCCCTGCCCTGACGTGTCTGCTCCTGGCATTTCAATAAAACCCAGCTTGGGTCTGTGTCTTGAGTATTTTTTAAAATGCTGTCTTGTGGTTGGTTACCTGCTTTGATTGCTGGGGAGAGGCAGACTAGGAGAGCCCTCCCATCCCTGGCAGACTTCCCAAGTGATGAGACCAGCCTCACTGCGGGGGGGGGGGGGGGGCGGCTACCTCTGAGAACCTCTGGCACAGCCATCCTTGCACCCCAAGAATCACAGTCAGGTTCTCTGATTTCGCATCAGTACAGGAGTTGACCTGGCTAGGAAGTCCCCAGAGTGCATTTGTGCATGTTGGAGAAAGGAGCTGTCTTGGTACCTAGAGTCCCAGGCCAAGGCCTATGGGCTGCTTGAGCAGAGGATGGGCTGGATTTCAGTGCCTTGGGCTGGATGTGCAAGGAACCCACACAACCTAGTGATGACCAGAAACTGCGTCATTGGTACTACATCTGCTGCCAACCTGGCTGTCACCAAAGCTCCCAGACAGTTTGCTAAGCACTTCTATCGAATCCTCTTCACTCTCCCAGCCTCTTGAGGGAGATACTGGTCCCAGCCAGTATCCCAGTCAAGATGGAGGCCAAGAGGAAAGAGTTTACTCAGGGTAGCTCAGTGGAGTGACCAGCATGTGCCTCCCCATCTTCTTGGTGTGGTTCCTGACCTGAGGAGAGAGCAGAGCTACACACACTGCTCACACGCCATGGGGCATTCTGCTCTACTGCCCTGCTCTCTCCAGGCCTTGGAGCCGCAGAGCCTGGTTTCTATACTGCCACTGTCCCCGCCTCGCCAGCCCAGTGTCCTGCCCTCCTTTGGTTAGGGGCCAGGGAATTTGGCCAGGAGCCCCTGGGGACACTGCTCTCGTGCCGGGCCTGAGCTGACTAAGCCTCCAGCAGCCTCACCAAGTTGGAATTTGGAGCAGAGGAGCGGAGATGCCACCAGGCTGACTGGGTGGAAGTGGCTGAGTCATGAGATGCTAGCTCAACCCCTCCCGGCTTCCTCCCCACCCTGAGCTGCCCCAGAGCTGAGCCCCCCACTCCCACCCTCCTCTAGCCCAGCCTGGGGAAGTCCCCAGAGCTGATGGTCTCAGCCTGCTGTCCTGCCTAGTTGAGACCATCAGTGCTTTGCATTTGATTAAAGTAGGCCAGGGCTTGGGGAAAAGTGGGAGGCGGGGTCCTAAGTTGGGGGCCTCATGTATCCCCTAAAGATGCCCAAATGAAGGGGGCAGCCCCAGTCTCCCATAATGAGGCCAGCTAAATCATCCCAACTCATCATTTCCACTACCCTACCTGAGTCCACTCCTCACTGTCTACCAACATGGTGGCAGCCTCCAACTCGCCTCCTCCACCCCAAGCCTCCTTCCCTGCCCCCTCCCCCCATAGCCAGTGCCACCTAGCTCCCTCTAGAGCTGCACATGCCCCTCCTCAAAGCACCTCTGTGCCCCACACCCCAGTCTGCAGGATAGAGGCCCTTCCTTCTGGGCCGGTATTGACCTGCTTCCCCCATCCAGCTGTGCCAGCTGTCTGCAGGCTCTCCTTCCCGCATGAAGCCAACTGGCACATCCCTCACCCCTGGCAAGCAGCCCTGAGCCTGGGGCCTTCCTTCTGCTTCAACACCTGCTGCTCACCACACTCATAAGATTGGGTCGTTACTTATGTAACCAACTGTTGCCATCTATCTCCAACTGACCCCTAAGCCACATGTCCAGACTGCTTGCTCCTCAAAGGCAGGAAGTGTCTGTCAGCCCTGACCCCAGAACCAGCTCTTGATAGTTTTGTATGTGTGGTGTAGATGTACACGCTGGTAGTGGGGCTTGAACTCAGGGCCTCACTCATTTAGCTTTTTTCACACCAGGCTAGTACTCTACCAATTGAGCTGCAGCTCCATTTCTAGCTGCTTGGTAGTTCACTGGAGATATAAGTCTCAAAGGCTTTTTTTAACCCAGGATTGGCTGAGAATCACTATCCTCAGATTTCAGCCTCCTGAGTAGCAAAGATTACAGTCATGAGCCAGTGGTGCTTAGTCATGAATTATTAAATGAAGGAATGAAAAAAGGAAAGAACTGACTCAGCCCAAGCCCCTGTGGTCCCCCCCCACCTCCTCTGTTTTATACTCCCGTCTCATCCTCCTCCTGACTACTGAGTTCAGTGGGTTTTCTTGCATGCTTCTGGCCATTCTCATTTCTTGTCTTGGCTTATGCTGTAGCCTCTGGCCTGCCCAGCCCTTCCCACACACCTGGCTAACTCCACATCTTAGACCCACTAGCTCAGGTGTTGCCCCCTGAAGCCTCCCCAGACATCTTCATCCCAGGCTCCATGGTACCCACCTATAGCTGTCACCAGGGCATCCAGCACACAGCCTACCCTAGTGTTAGTGTCAAATAAGTACTTTGCTCATGTGTGGATTGAATACAAGTCATTCTCTATTTGAAGGCCTCAGTTTCCTCCTATTATTAACAAGAGCCAAGCACCCTATGAAGCATTCACCCATGCTAACTCATACACACTTTTTTTTTGGTCAGTCGTGGGGCTTGAACTCTGGGCCTGGGCACTGTCCCTGCGCTCTTCAGCTCAAGGCCAGCACTCTACCGCTTGAGCCACAGCGCCACTTCCAGTTTTCTAGTGGTTTATTGGAGATACGAGTCTCATGGTTCCTGCCCGGGCTGGCTTTGAACCGTGATCCTCAGATCTCAGCCTCCTGAGTAGCTAGGATTACAGGCGTCATCCAAGCTTTATCTGACTGTTGTTACTGCTATTTTGCAGAAGAAAAAAATGAGATGAAAAACTGAGCTAGGCACCAGTGGCTCACGCAGGGCCTAAGCACTATTCTTTAACTTTTCTGTTCTAGCACTTGATCTACATTACACTTCAGCTTTTTGATGGTTGGTGAACTGGAGATAAGAGTCTTATGGACTTTTTTCTGCACGGGCTGGCTTCAAATCTCCATTCTCAGGTCTTAGCCTCCTGAGTAGCTAGAATTACAAATGTGAACCATCAGTGCCCAGCTCCAGACTCCCTTTTAGACAGCTGGGTGGGGTGATATGCATTTATTATCCAAGCTAAGACAAAATGTCTTAAATAGGTGGGTCAAGGCCCAGGTATACATGTAGGCAAGAATTAAGATCCTATCTCAAAAAATAATTGACACAAAAAATGACTGGACGCTGGGCAATGGTGGCTCACGCTTGTAATCCTAGCTACTCAGGAGGCTGAGATCTGAGGATCATGGTTCAAAGCCATCCCAGGCAGGAATGTCCATGAGACTCTGTATCTCCAATAAACCACTCAGAAAACTGGAAGTGACCCTGTGGTAGAGCGCTTGCCTTGAGCTGAAGAGCTGAGGGACAGTGCCCAGGCCTAGAGTTCAAGCCACATGACCAACAAAAAAAGGACTGAAGGCCTGGCTCAGTGGTAAAGAACCTACCTAGCAAGCATGAAGCTTTGAGTTCAAGCCCTAATATAGCCAAAAGAGGGAACTGAGCCCTATACAAGTTCAGTAATTGAGTCATAGTTACAGAGCTAGCAGAAGGAAGAGACAAAATTTGAACCTATGTCATGCAATTCCAGAGCACTTGATGCATGACACCTGGCTGAAAGTGCTGATTGAGTGGGCCCTGCAGAAATCAATGAGATCTGGTAGTGACTTAGGAGTGATTCCTAAAGCACACAACTTAGAGCTTCAGAACCATTTGGGAGGCAGGCTAGCAAAAAATGGAGGTTCCATGTGACACTTGTGCCGCTACCCAGCAAGAACAGCCAGAGAGTGCAGCCACTAGGCCTATCTCTATAACAAGGGTCTTCCAGGCCTGCAATGGGAACTGCTCCCCTTCCAGGGCAAAGGCACCCCCAAGCTGACAAGGAGCTCTGTTCTGTCCAGTTCCTGCCTACTTGGGATTATGTAAGTAGCTAAGGTCAGGGGCAAACTTGAATAAACCTGTGTGCCCATCTCCTTTTTTAAAACCACCAGAAAATGCTGAGTGCTGGCAGCTCATGCCTGTAATCCTAGCTACTCAGAAGGCTGAGATCTAAAGGTCTCAAAGGCAGGAAAGTCCGTGAGACACTTATTTTCCAATGAACCACCAGAAAAACAGAAGTGGCGCTGTGGCTCAAGTGGTAGAGTGCTAGCCTTGAGCAAAAGAAGCTCAGGGACAGTGCCCAGGCCCTAAGTTCAAGCCCCAGTGTGTGCACGCATGTACACACACACACACACATACACAACACACACACACGCACACACACACACACACACCCCAAAAGATGCTATAAGCCAAGGAAACTTCATTACGCCCTCCCTATTCTTTTTTCTACTATAAACTGCAAACCCTGTCCCCGCTCCCCTCCCAGGCCTTAGGGAGGAGTACAGAAGGGCTGTCGGAGAGACTGCCTGACCCCTTACTGAGGCCTGGACCCAGGTCACTGAATCAGGGAGTACAGGAAACAGCCAAGTTAGGAGATGCAGCCAGAGCCAGTTAGGGTTTTGGGATTTTCCCAGCAGGGCAGCTGCGCCCCAGTCCTGCTGGCTGGGAGGGGCCTTGGCAGGGCTGAGGATTGGGTCACACAGCTGATTCATGGAAAAGGGAAACTCCCCGCTTGTGTGACACGCTTCCCCCGGGTATCAAGGGGTACATGTGAGGATGCTCGACTGTGAAACCCACCAATCTTGTCTTTCTGTGGTCATCGGTCTCCTGGCAGGGCAGAGAGCTAGATGAGCAGGTGACAGGGCCTTGGGGACAACTCCATAGGAAAGAAAACTAGACTGCAATTTGGAGTAAAGGCTGAACAAGAAGCACCTCTGGTGTCCTTTCTCACCCATTTTATAGATGAGACAACTAAGGCAGAGAGTAATTACAAGCAACTACCCAGACTTGCTCTGGGCCAGGCATTGTCTAAGCTGGTTGTGTGCATTCATTCATTTCACTCCTCCCAGCCCTCCTTTCACTGATGAGGAACTAGGATAAAAGATGCTAAATTGGTTGGCCAAGGTGAGGCCTGGAAACGCTCAGGCACTTTCTATGACTCTTTTTTTTTTTTTTTTTGGTCGGTCATGGGGCTT